CCCTCGGCCAACAGTCTCTCACAGTCTCTTTCCCAGCAGTGCTGGTCCCTCGGTGTCTCACTCAGCAACGCGTGTCTCTTGCGCCTCTTTCCCAGCAGCCCGTGTCTCTTTCAGGGGCGTGCGTCTCTTTCGGCAGCACGTCTTCCTCAACCAGCAGTCAGAGAGAGTTCTGCCTCTAGGAGGCCTCCTTTTGAGCCCAGCAGGGTGGTCAAACTAGCCAATTATAGCATCAGAACTCTAAGCACCTGAGAGAGTGGGCACCTCCCAAAACATTGTTTTGTGCCACTCCCAACAGAAATACTCCAGGTGGACACCTTCAGCAATCAGGAGCGCCTCAGTTGCTTGTAGCAAATCCCACCTTGGAGTTTATAAAGACTTATGGGTAGAAAAGCCACACAAAGTAATTTACTACACTGCAAAGCCGGATTCAGAAGAGGATATGGAGTTAGGGATATCATAGCTGATATCAGATGGATCTTGGCTGAAAGCAAAGAATACTAGAAAGATGTTTACTTGTGTTTTACTGACTATGCAAAGGGATTTGATTGTGTGGATCATTAACAAATTATGGATAACAGCGAGAAGAATGGGAATTGCAGAACACTTAATTGTACTCATGAGGAACCTGTAAATAGACCAGTAGGCTGTCATTTGAACAGAACAAGGGGATACTTCATGGTTTAAAATCAAGAAGGGAGTGCGTCAGGGTTGTATCCTTTCATCATACTTATTCAATCTGTATGCTGAGAAAACAATCTGAGAAGCTGGACTATATGAAGAAGAACATGGCATCAGGATTGGAGGAAGGCTCATTAACAACTCGAGATATGCAAACCACACAATTTTGCTTGCTGAAAGTGAGGATGACTTGGAGCACTTACTGATGAAGATTAAAGACTACAGTATTACACCTTAATATAAAGAAAACAAAAATCCTCACAACCGGACCGATAAGCAGCATCACAATAAATGGAGAAAAGACTGAAGTTGTCACAGACTTCACATTGCTTGGTTCTACAATCAACACCAAAGGAGGGGGCAGTCAAGACATCAAAAGACATATTGTATTGGGCAAATATGCTGCAAAAGACCTCTTTCAAGTGCTGAAGAGTAAAGATGTCTCCTTGAAGACTAAGGTGCACCTAACCCAAACCATGGTATTTTCAACTGCTTCATATGCATTTGAGAGCTGGACAATGAATAAGACCAAAGAAGAGTTGGTGCTTCTGAGTTGTGGTGTTGGCAAAGAATGCTGAGAGTACTATGGACTGCTAAAAGAACTAACAAAGCTGTCCTGGAAAAAGTGCATCCGGAATGCTCCTTGAAAGCGAGAATGGCCAGACCTTGTCTCATCTACTTTGTTCATGTTGTCAGAAAGCACCATTCTCTGAAGAAGGATGTCATGCTTGGGAAAGTGAAGGGTCAACGGAGGGGAAGGCTCTCAACAAGATGGCCTGACATGGTGGCTACGGCAATGGGCTCAGGTATAGTAGGGATCATAAGGCTGGCCCAGGACTGGGAAGTGTTTCATTCCATTGTACATAAGGTCACTATGAGTCAGAAACGACTCGACGGCACATAACAACAACAAAACAAGTGGATCTTGTGCTCAGTACTATATTTCGTGTTCTTCTTAATAAAGGATGAAGTATTGTCACCCCAATTTATCATATTAAAAGTGTTTTTCCCCTAAATAAATATTATTTTAAAAATTGCATATAAGTTTCAAGTTATTAACTCCAACAAAAAGGTATATATGCAACTATATATAAATACATACATGCATATACACACATACAATCTCCTGATTTTTGGATTACTGATAAAAAGATTTTGAAAAGAGGTTAATTTTAAAACCAACCACATAAACATTTAGGGGAGAAATGGGATTTTTATCAACTATAATACAAATCGTAATTTGGGAAACTACTGAAATTTGATATAATGCACATTCTAATGTGAATTGACAAACCTCCTGATTATGTAAGTAAACTTAAGAATTAGTGGCTCTATTATGGTCTAAGTTCTTTTTCTTTTAAGATATATAACTTTTAGCTACTTTGCACAACATATAATCATCTGTTAAATGTGACATTTTTTCTTATTTATCCCACATTCTTATTTAAAGATTAAGGATTTTTTAATGTATTTGGTTCTGTTTTCTATCATCAACACCATTTCACCTATACTTTTCGTAGTGCCTACTAGATTTTTTGAATTTTTAGGAAACTTTTTAAAACTTTCTCTCAAATTTTTTTTACCCAGTTCTGCAGTAAGAATAAAGGGACCCAAACCCATTTTCTCTACCGAGCAGCTTTTGAAATTATTTTGTCATTTTGCAGGATTTGAAAGAACAAAGAAACGGTCCAAGTTATTTTTTCCCCTGTTTTAACCTTTGAGAATCTGGAACTCAAAATGTACCTGATGAAAAATGTAGCAGGATACTGTGAATGAATTTCACAGAGACAAGTAAATTTCTGATGATTTACAAGTTCTGTAATTGTAAATATTTATGGTCAAAGTTTACCATGACAATTATTAAAAGAACATGAAGTAACAGTTCTGAACATGAAAATAAAATTATTAATGATATTTCACCATTAATACCAATTCCATGTGGTATATATATCCAGAGTGTTGAGTAGAACAAAAGTTGTATATGTATGAAAATAATTTGTACTTGCTTTAAAAAACATTTAATTTTTTCCTATATTTTATAAGTGTGGTTTAATTACATAGCTTTTTAAAAAATGAAATTGATTTCAAAAATTAAAACATCTACATTGTAGACCAATCAGAAAATTTGTTGTTGTTGTTGTTATGTGCCGTCGAGTCGGCCCCGACTCATAGCGACCCCTCCTTGGGTTTCCGAGGCAGTATCACTACGGAAGTAGATTGCCCAACCTTCCTTCTGAGGAGTGGCTGGTGGGTTTGAACCGCCAGCCTTCTAGTTAGCAGTCAAGTGCCTTAGGCACTATGCTACCAGAGCTCCTATAATCAGAAAACAGACAAGCAAAATAAACACAAACCCTCATATCTGTTCTGGTTACCTAGTACAGCTTTAACAGAAATATCACAAATGGGATGCTAGAACAAACAGGAGTTTATTCTCTTACAGTTTGGAGGCTTTAAGTCCGAGATCAAAGTGCCAGGCTCTAGAGGCTTTGTGAAACCCCTCGACCTTGGGCTTCAGCTCTGCCTCCTGTTCCTGGCCCACTGAAGCTAGAGGCATCTCTTCACGCAGGCAGCTACTGGTTGCTGAGGCTAACAACCCCAAGGTTGACAAATAAAATGGCACAGTCCTGATATTACACCAAACCACATGGCAGGCCATTAATTCAAGTCTATTGAAAGCCCCAAGGTCGACAGAGCATGACAGGCCGTTGAACAACAAGGCTACATGCAGTGTTCCAGCATGCCATAAGCTGGAGACCATCCCCAAGGCTTCTCCTTATACTCAGGAAGCAGACCACATCCCTAAGGCAGCTACTCAGCTGCTTGTGGTAGATCCCACCATGGAGTTGATTACCAGTCTCATTATGGGGAATAACTACCACCAGCTGCCCAGCCACTCAACCACGCCCAGCCAAGTTGACGTACAAATTTAACTACCATGATATCCTTCCCGACGGGTATTTATGTATATGTGTGTGCTAGATATAATTTTTAGGAGGAACATGCTAACCATTTTGACTGTCTTTGCATGTGCATAGATACATCCCAGCGACATTTTTAAGGGAAGCCTCTTTCATTGTCTGGATGTTCAATAATACTGACTGATTCCTTTTGGCTGACATTTGGGTGGTTTTCCTTTTTGCTATTAAGTTTTATACACTATCTTTGTGCACCTGTCTAGCTCTTCAAGATGAAATTCCTAAACATGGAATTGTTGGGTCAAAAGGAGTGCAAAAGTTTTCGAAGCTTTCAATATATACTGGCAACAGCCCTTCAGAAAGGCTGTATCAATGATAACAATGGCGTATTGGAGCATCTTCACTTCTCCCTTAGGAACTCAAAGGAACTCTGGTGGTACAGTGGTTAAAGCATTCGGATGCTAACCCCAAACCAATGGAGGTTCCAACCAACCAGCCGCCCCTGGGGGAAAGCTGAGGCTTCCGTAAAGATTGACAGCCTTGGAAACTAGGAGGCAGTTCTACTCTGTTCTAAAGAAAGGGTTGCTATGAGTTAAGAATAGACTCATAGTTGTGAGTTTGGTTTGGGTTTTAAGAACTCGAGGTGTTTTTTCTTTCTCTCTTTCACAATTTCTGGCTAATTTGAAAACCAAACCAAACTCACTGCCGTGGAGTCAGATCCGACTCACGGTGACCCCTTCTTGGGTTTCAGAGGCGGTATCTCTACGGAGTAGACTGCCCAACCTTCCTTCGGAGGAGGTGGGTTTGAACCGCCAGCCTTCTGGTTAGCAGTCAAATGCCTTAGGCACTACGCCACCAGAGCTCCCAAGGCTAATTTGAAAGGTGTGGAATAAAAACATGAAATGTGGAACTGGGCTTTCTGCCGCTACTGGCTCCCTGGAGGGGCAGGTAGAAGGAAACGTTAAGAAATTCAGCCACGTTTACCAGAATTTAAGAAATTCACCTCAGTTGGGCGGCGAAGGAGGACGGGCAGAGCAATGTGAAGGGGAAAGAAATAGGAAATTATTTTATGGGAAGGGCAATTGCTAGAGAAAGTTTTAAAGTTTCAAATCTTAGGCATAGGAAAAACTGGCACAGAACTCCAGATAAATGAAACGCCTTCCAATGAAAGCACAGCTTCTCCACAACGGTATCAGTTAACCACTCATCCTCTCCCGCCTCTCTTCACTTACGCGGCAGCCGCAGAGAGGCAAGCTGCCCCCAAGCTGGAGGACCCCGGCGGCCGTCGCGCCATCCCACAATGCCACGCTCGCACCATCCTACGGGTGGAGAGAAGGGACGGCTGCCGGGATAGGGATCGGCGAAGGGTTCCGAGAGGTGCGCACGCGCACTGACCCCAACGGGCCCTAGCAACCAGAGCAGTGACAGTAGCAACGGCCGGAATGGTGAGTACCCTTCTGGTTTGGTAGCCAAAGTTGAGAGGATATTCGGCGTGGAAAAGCGTGATTGTGGAGTGTAAAGATGGAGGGCCTCAGACAGCGGAAGGGAGCTGGGAGCGGTTCGCAAGCTCCTTGGAGTCACCGGCCTGAGGCGAAAGAGATGTGCAGGCGGTGGTAGTCGGGCAGAGGGCGGCCTGGGTCGGGTAGGAGGTTGGGTTAAGGTGGAGAGACTCTGGCGAAGAAGAGGAAGGGCTAAGAGCAGGAAATTGTTGTTTTCTTTAAAGGGAGGACTAGGCTGGGAGAGGTGATGCGAGGGAGAGTATGGGTAAGGATATCTCTTTGCATAGAAGTAATTCCTCCCCCTCGTTTCTGAGCGATTAGCGTTGGGAGGGGAGTCCTGGTTACGGTAGGAGGCTGTGTGTCACCAACTGCAGCAGTATTCGTACCGATTGGTGATGTACCTAGGTTGTCTTCTGAATGACGATGAGTGTATACGGTTAATAGGTAACACTGAAAGTCAGTCTGGTAGAATGTATTAGGGTGCAGTTTCTCAGGTTCCAGTATGCATAAGTATGAATTTTTTGGAATATAGATTATTACTTTTGAATATGACTCAGAGGGAACAACATTAAGGAATGTGCATTTTGACAGTGGACCTCAAGTGATTCTAAAATTGGAGGGGATCCCACCACACTTTGCTGCCTTGGATTTGAAATCGACCAGCGGTCTTACCCAATCAAAGCTCTTGTGAAGTAGTCTTAACCTATTGATGCTCCTCAACTTCCAAGTCAGTGTGCACTCTCTTGTAGTTCCAACTAGTAGTTTGAATAGGGATGTTGGTTGATTACAGATCCAGGCAAAACTAGTATTTAGCCAAGTATGAGATTGTCCTGCCAGATGGAGATGTTTATGAAGAGTAAGTGTAATTAGTATCTTTGGTTTGTGATTCCAGTGCTATGTAAGTGGGCGAAAGTTGAGCCCAGGAGATTGAAATGGTAAGGAAGCCATTCCCACCTCGACCACAAGAATAAATACCACTCTTTTATAAGCAGTTTTTCCCTTGCTTTCCTTACTTTATTCCACATTTAGCTGAAGACTACTGCAAAGGAAGTTCTGGAACATAGGTTTACGTTCAGAAGAACAGCCCTAAATAATTCTAAAAATATGAAGCATGGAGATTATTGAAAATCTCCAAATAGGGAATCAAAACGAGTAATTAGATGAAGCTTGTTGATACTGCACTTTGGTAGCTCTGGGCCTTTCCAAAAGACTTGTTTATTTCTGGTTCACATAGTACTTTTGAAATTTTTAATTAGTTGCCAGTTCTTAAAAAATTGACATATTTCACATTAAAACCTAGATTTGTGGATTGTCGGAAATAATCAGAATTACCATATTTCACATTTTTATAATACTGAATTATGATGATGTCATACAATCATAATTGGCAGCATTCTTTATTTTTCTTAATGGCACATAAAATGAGGGTGTTACTTACAATTAATGGTGTTTTAATATTTGAAGAAATATAGTATTGGGGTAACTCAGAAGGCTGGCAGTTCAAACCCACCAGCCACTCCTGGAAGGAAGGTTGGGCAATCCACTTTCGTAGTGATACTGCCTCGGAAACCTAAGGAGAGGTCGCTATGAGTCGGGTCCGACTCCATGGCACATAACAACAACAACTTGGCTCCAAATCTCTCCTTTCAACAGTTGTCTGCAGCCCAGTAGAAGTTCTCTCTATGAGCTTTGTTCTCACCTGGCCACCTTTACCCATTAATGACTAATGGACCCCTCGGTCCTTTAGGCATTTGAGTTTTTGACATCTGCTACCTATTGGGGAACCAATGATCTTATACCATTTCTATATTGCCAGAATAGATAGCTAGATTGCCTCCAATTCTGTTTTCACAATGTAAAAGTGTTCTTGTATTCCTCATATGTTGTTGTTGTGTGCTGGTGAGTTGATTCCGATTCTAAGTGACCCCATGTGACAGAATAGGCTATAATCTTTCTGGAAGCAAATCACCACCTCTTACCCCTGGAGCTGCTGGATGTGTTGCAATTGCCAAACTTCAGTTAGCAGCCGAGGACTTAACCATTGTTCCACAGGGGTCCTGTTCACAGGGTCTGCATACTTAAGTTCCCTAGGTACTGTAAGACTTTTCCAGAATGACTCTACTAGATGTTTTTGTGTTTTTTTTAACCCAGTTTTTACTTCTTCCAGCAATTCATGACAGTTGCAATTTCTCTACGTTCTCACCATCTTTTTAATTTTTGCTAATCTGAAAGATGTATTTTAGTATCCCATTGTTTGAACTTTGCAGTTTCCTGATTGATGATTTTGAACACCTCTTGATATTCTTAATAGTCGTTTAGACTTCACTTTCTGTGAATTGTCGGCTTATAGGCTTTGCCAACTTTTTTTTTTTTCTTTAATTTGGGGAGTTCCTTGTATATATCAGATAATCGTTTTTTGTTCAAAATACCTTCTCCTAATTTTCCAGGTAACTTTGGTAGTGGTTTTCTTTACTAGCTGAACTCCTTTTGCTCTTAAATTTGACAGTTTATTCTATTGGATTTTCTATATGGATGATCATCTGCACGTAATAACAGTTTTACTTCCTCCTTTTAACCATTCCAATTTGTATTTCTTTTTATTATAATGTTAATAAAGATCTCTAATGCCACATTAAGCAGTAGCAGTGATAATAAGCATCCTTGATGTATTTTGGCTCTTAAAGGGAATACTTTTAATTTCCCAGTTAGGCCCATCCTGACTGTCTTATTTAAAATAAATATCTTCCGTACACATATACACACATCTGATATCTCTTACCAAGCTCAGCTTTTTCTTTTTCCTAGTATTTATCACCTTCTAATATATAATTTATTTATTAATTATATATATATTATGTAATAAATCTGGTAGCGTAGTGCCTAAGGCACTTGACTGCTAACCAGAAGGCTGGAGGTTCAAACCCACCAACCACTCCTCGGAAGGAAGATGGGGCAATCTACTTCTGTAGTGATACTGCCTCGGAAACCCAAGGTGGGGTCGCTATGAGTTGGGTCCGACTCGACGGCATATAACAACAACATATATATATTACTATATATAAAGGAGCTCTGGTAGCATAGTGGCTAAAGCACTTGACTGCTAACCAGAAGGCTGGCGGTTCAAACCCACCAGCCACTCCTCGGAAGGAAGGTTGGGCAATCCTACTTCCGTAGTGATACTGCCTCGGAAACCCAAGGAGGGGTCGCTATGAGTCGGGGCCGACTCGACGGCACATAACAACAACAACATATATATTTATTATATATATCTGCTTTCCTCTAGTGGATAAAATTCCATGAAGGCAAAGATTTGTTTTGTTCACTGATATATCCTAAGGATGTAGAAGAATGCTTGGTACATAGGAGATATTCAGTATTTGCTGAAATAAATGAATTTCTCCATTAAATAATGGTTTTTGGTATATATTTTTTGTATGCAGTATTTATCAAGTAAGGACTTTCCCTTCTACTCTTAGCTGAGAACTTCTATTATCAGTAGATGTAGAACTATATCAAGTGCCTTTTCTGCATTCATTGAAATAAACATGTCATATTCCCCTTTAATCCATTAATTCATGATTTATGTTCAGAGTTTTTCTGTTGTCCTATAATCCTGGTACTCCTGAAGTAAACCATTCGTGATCATTATATACCATAGACTTTGGGGAGCTAATGTATATATATATATTTTATTGTGCTTTAGGTGCAAGTTTACAGAGCAGAGTTTGTTTTACATGCAACATTTTGTGTACATTTTGGTTTCACTCCCCAATTACCATCCCCAACCCTAACCCACTCTCCTCCCCTCCCTGCCTCCACTGCCCCCCCTACCGTGTCCCTCATAGTTATGTACTTCTATGTGTCCTGCATTTCCTCCCTAGGTATATTGCCCCTCTAGTGCCCTGTGGTCAATTGCTCCAAGGGGTGCATCTCCGTAGAGTCGGTGGGTGTGTCACCCTGGGTTGAGTGGTCTGTGTGTACATCTTATTTACTATTGGGCTAAGAGCCAGCCCCTGGGAGTGAGTTTTATTCCAGGCCGGAAGTGTATCCCAGGGCCATAGTATTAGGGATCCCGCTGGACACCATCTGACCAGTAATTCTGGTTGTTACTGTGTTTTTGGATTTTGTTCCATGTTTTTCTTCCCACTCTGTCCAGGATCTCCAGTTTTGATCCTTTCCCAAGTGGTTGGCATTGGTAGTCAGGCACCATCTAGTTCTTCCAATCTCGAGGTCCATCATGTCCTAGGGCTGATTGCTTCCAAATGCCCTTGTTTTTTTTTGTTGTACTCTTCTTTGCTTCAGACGATAGGAGACCATTAGCTGCATCTTAGGTGGCTGCTTGAAAGCTTTTAAGACCCCAGTCACTACTCACCAATGTAGGTTGTGGAGCAAGATTTTTAATTATTGTGCCAATTGAGTCTGGAGTCCCCCAGTACTGTGGTCCTGAGTCGGTAGATCCATTGGATCTCTCTCTCACAGTGTCTGGCTAGCTGTGAGGGATTGTTGAGAGCTAATATTTTATCTAGGGTTTTCAAATCTATGTTGAGGAGTAAAGGCTCTTTATCTGGTTATGGAATCAAGATTATATTTGCTTCATAAAATTAGTTGGCAGCTTTCCCTCTTTTTCTGGTTTCTGAAGCAATTTGTATAACGGATTATCTGTTCCTTGAGAGCTTGGTAGAAGTCACTTGTAAAACTATTGAGGCTTGGAGCTTTAGAAGAGGAAGATGAGAGTAGATCTCTTTGATTATAATTTTAATTTTTAAAGTAATTTTCTGATTCTTCTTGTGACTGTTTTGGCACATTTGTGTTTTTTTTGTGGAAATACATACCTTATCTGAGTTTTTACATTTATTACCATATGTTTACTGTTGTTGTTGTTGTTGTTATGTGCCGTCGAGTCGCCCCGACTCATAG